CATTATTAAGCCATAAAATTGAAAACTTAATATAATTACATAAACGTTGGCATCAACGCCCCAAGCCTGGGCTCTAAAACAGGGTACCAGCCGATTTTCGGGCACACGCTCTTGCTTTGTGGTACCTTGCTTGTTACATATAATGACCAGAGCAAAATTTACCAGAACATTTTAAGCAGTCCACGGTAAACCCGCCAGACAGCCATCGAGGCTGAATGCTGCCCATGGCGCAATCTGAAAATAATAAGAGACTCACACTGAGGTCCGGACATGGTGCAGCCGGCTTACATTACTGTCATCGGCATCATCATTAGTTTTTGCATTATTATTACAAAAAGTTGCATACTCCTTAAATGTTGGTACTGTATCCTAATCAGGAACAAGATATTAACTTTAAAAAGTGCCACTAACTGTATTTACATATTATGTATCCCCATAAACAAAGCTACCAATTTGACTGTAGTTTCATTTTGAAATATTTCTTCTTTCAGCAGAATTAACTATATAAATTATCAAAGTTTTTACATTAGTTTTATGTTCGGAGATAGAATTAAGAATTGATGATCCGTATTTATATAATAACTATGTCTAAAAAATATTTTTTCAAATATTTAAAAATAATTGAATTATTTTATTGGCATTTGTATGCTTTAAGTTACATGTATCACAGCACATAATCCTCAAGTGCTCAATATTGAATTTATGTAACTGCATCTTGTCAGCGTACAAAGACTTCTTGCATTTCAACTTCCACCGGCCCCTTTTTCTGTTGGCCAGTTCGGAATCGCTCCTCGATCTCCAAAAGTGTACGTCTTCGAGTCTCAGGCAGAATCCAATAAATGAATGTCATAGACAAAAATGACATAGCGCCAAAAAAGATAAATGCGTTGTTCAGGCCAATGCTTGATTTTAAGTCCGGATACATTTTGATGCACAAAAATGCAAAGAACATACCCACTGCCACAGTTAGACCTGAAGCTGGACCACGCACTTTTTGAGGAAAAAGCTCCGAAATCATGAAGAAAGGCAGAGTATAGAGACCCAATGTACTAAGTACAATGAAGCTTACGATCGCTATGACTGGTAGGTAAGGCACGCTTTGGAGAACTTCAAGCCAACCGTGACCAGCCAGAAGAAACATGGAGACAGTCATACCAAACGTTGATATAATTCCAGCACGTCTCCGGCCCCATTTTTCTAGCACATAACCCATGGGACAAGTTGTCACCAGCCTCGCCATTCCAATGAGAACAGCGCACATGAATGGATCCATTGAGACACCTGCGTCACTGGAGATTTGCACGGCGTACACAATGACCACAAAAATCCCTGAAAGCTGTTGAAATGCAAACAAACCCATCAAAATCAACAGCGGTTTGTGCACTTCAGGCAATTTTAGACAAGTTAAGAACGATGGTTTCCTCTCGCCGTCACGAAGTTGCAGTGACTTTTGTAAAATATTGAACTCCTCTAGAACTTCAGGATGCTTGATACGTGCTATAATAAAAATGAAATGCTAATTATATTGGATCTTCAGATAATTATATCACTCACGTAACTTGTCCAGTCCACGAAAATAATTAAGTGACTTCATAGCCTCCTCCACACGCTTCTTAGATAACAACCAACTAGGCGACTCTGGCAATGGTAGCACACAGAGCAACGCGGTTATTTGATAGCAACAGCAAATAAGCGCAATTAGTCGAAAATTATCCCGTATAAAGTAACCAATGCTATAGAGAATTGTTATGCCCAATGCCACTGAAATGGAGGTGCCAAGTATAAGGCAGCCTCGTAACTTGGGTAAACTAATCTCAGCTGCATAAACACCAGAAGGCGCACTAGCCAATCCCATGACTATTCCTGAAAGGCAAAAGTGATTATTATGATTTTTAAGTAGGCTTTGGGAGGGAGTTACCAATTATGAAACGAGATACAAATAACTGCCAGTAAAATGCTTCAGTACTCGTCGAACTCGGTGTGGCAAGCAGTGACCAGGCTGTGATGGCCAACAAATTTAACACATAGAGAGTACGCTTACGTCCAATTTTATCGAGTAGTAAACCCGACAATAGACCACCCAATGGAGAAGACAATGTGTTAATAGACGCAAACCAAGAAGCTTGCGTGCTATTTAAATACACAGGTTCCAATTCGCTGGTCAACTGGCGTAGTGAAACTGTAGGAATAGCCAGAGCTAAACCAGTTGATATAACACCCATATTGGCCAGTATAACCATAAATGCCTGTCGCCGGACTGCACGCGATTGTTCACCCAGTGGTATTATCTTTGGTGATCGATTTAATCCATTTACGATCTGTGGGTACTTGCCATCGGTCCTCTCAGAATGGCTACTGAACAACTGTTCTTCCTGACCCTCGATCTTACATTCCATTTTCGATGTTTCTGAAAAAGGAAAATGTGATCATATTAGAATATATATGATTTTACCATACTTGTATATTATATGTATTTTATTATTAACAATATAATAACATATCCATTGGCAGATGCTACTAATATGTATCAAATTTTTTTAACGCAGAAGTAGCATATACCATATAGCTGGTTCAATTACAGTGATATGGATGAGCAATAAAGACAGAACATTCCAACTGATAAGACTGAGTCACATCTTCATTGTCTTAAACTGTTTTGTATTTTATTTAAAGATGGTGATTTCATATAAATATGTTAGTTTGAAGAAAATTAACTTTCGTTTAAAGAGCGATCTGAACCTGAGCCTCATAGTGGTAGTGTATCTGTTGGTCGAGAACTTAAATCGTTAGTTTATATTGGTTCGTTGCTAACGATTGAAAATCGTTCAAGGTGAACTAAATCGATTAAGCCTTTACTGATAACGAATAAAACAAAAATTAGTATGGGGAGCGTCCGACTACAACATACTATTATATATACCCCTATATATATATATATACACATATATATATATATTTGTTTATTTACCATTAATTGATAGCTTCATACAGAAGACTTGATTGCTTCAAATGCTGGCTACGCATAGAACAAAACAATTTTTGAGTCAAACGACTCAATGGTCATTAATAAGGCATAAACTTGTGTATTGTATTTTCATGTGATGCCAATTTAATCAAACTGTTGTCTCAATAATTAATTCATTTACACGAGACAGAAGTTCTAAGATCTGAAGAAAACCTCGCATTCAAATATTTGTTCCACGGTGGCTACCAAATATATTTAAAAACAGGTTATCTCTTAGTTCAACTAAAGACTTAGAAAACCGGCTTAAAAAACAGCACGATTACACTGTCGGCACGACAAAAAAAAAAGAGCTCAAAATATATTTTTAGCTTAACTTAAACTTAAAAACACGCTTGCCTATTTAGCTTGCCGTATAGAAAATAGCTCAGACGTGAAGTAACTTAGCCTAAAGCGAAAGAAAGGCAACTTGGCGATCCGACAACATCGAGACGCTCCAAACGACTGAAATGCGCTTGCGATGAAAAATGTCTCCCAAACTGAAGGCGTAAGATCATTCAAATGTAGAATGTGTGGACCCAAGATACCCTGTAGAAAGACTAATTATTAATATGTACTATATAAATATTTATATATATATATATATATATATATATATATATATATATATATATATATATATATATATATATATATATAATTAGTCTATTCTACAGGGTATCTTATATATACATATACATATATATAATTCTATCGGAGGTTGGACCTCTCTTCCTATCAAGTGCTTGTTTCTCTCTATCACTATTATTCAGTTTCCTCTCAGGTACGCCCACTTTGATAAGACTGTGGATACGTCACCAACTATAGATTTTGTATGTCATGATCGTTTTAATTGCCCATAAAACATTTTTATCAGAACCAATAGCTCAATCAATACGCAAATTGAATGCTAATCTTCAGCTTTACTCTGCTTGCGAGCGACATTTGTAATTAGTTTGCTAGTCGCGACTTATCAATTGAATGAAACCTGCGACCTTCACAAGCAATTCGAGTTAGACGCTCATTAATAAAAAATAGACTCGTAAAGCGACATGTACTTCGCTGTAATGATTGTTATCTTTATAAAATTATATAAAATCTGTAATCTGAAAAGTATATATATATATATATTTTAAACTTATCGTTCATCAAGAAAGATTGTCAAAAGTAAATTTCAATATTTATGAACGAGAGCGGACTTATCTGTTATCTATTTAAGACACAAAAATGCTAATTTGCATTTGCTTTAAAGTAAACGTTTATTAACTAAGAATAAAAGCAAGGCCTGGAACTGTCAATCAGCTTGTGTTAATATTTAGATTAGATAAAAATGATTAAATATAGTGTTGGTCATTACTGTCGCTGACTGAGTTGATTGAAAAGCCGTTGGTAGGTCGAGTGACGAAGCTGTCAGCTTCTGTAGGTTGCCATCAGTGGACACAGCGTTGCAAAGCAATCGAATACAAAAATTTATTAGTATTGGAGGGAGCACCCTACGCTGAAAATTTCCTTTTTATTTATATGAGTTGATTTTCACCGAAGTCTGTGGAGAGCCGGGAACGCGTACACAACATAGGCGCCGCTAACGCGCGTGTATCAGAATCCATATATAACACATCTACATAAAACCCTAACCAGCTTATCAACTGCTATCGACAAATATATGTGGAATTTTAAATCAAAGCAACTTAGATCGACGCAATGTGTAATAAATAGTAATCCCTCTATGCATTAATTTGCGGAGTAGTGTTCCAATAGCCTGGCTTCTGTGTGAAAAATAATAGTTTGTTTATGTGCTGCTATGTGTATTTGTGAGCGTGCGCTGTACAATACATACATACGTGTAGATGTATACAGCTTCGGTTCTCTGTTTGTGTCAGACTGCATTGTACTTAGCTAGTAGCTCGTAGAAAGTGCTAAAAATCGATGCAAAATTAGTTATAAAATAAAATAAAGTAGCATAACAATTTGAATTTATTATTTACATTTTAATACATCATGCACATTGCAATATGCAATACAAAAAAAATAATATCTATCAATATATTAAGACCTTCATCACCAAAATTATGTACCCCATAATATCAGGAACATAAACCTACCTAAATTGTAAAGCATTCGACCAATTATTGTTGTTAGTCAATTTATAGCAAAGGGGTAAATTAAAAAGCCGTTAGAAGAGTGAGTGTCGCAACAGCGAGTCCGTGTCTGTTAGCGATGCGTACCCAACAGAGTTGCTAACGATACTATCGAATAGAGACAAACGCGACGACATCAAACAACACTAGAGAGCATAAAAACATTGTGGAAAATTTCCCATGCTGTCGAGAGTTTTCCTCCAAAGTGTGTAGAGAACCGGGAACGCGTGAACAACATAAGGGCAGCCAACGCGCGCGTGTAAAACAACACACACACATACATAAACAGCAAGTAACCAAACACATGGGAACCTTATCAATTGGTAGTGAAAGTAAACATCAAAACAAAAGAGACACCTTATTGAACGCCGGAGAGAGGTGCTGCAATCGGCCAGTGCACTTAATTGATAGCAAAAGCCCTATGCTAATTTGATAAGTGTGTCATTGTGGTACATATAGCTCATGCGAGCTGGGCAGAAAATAATTTTTTTACTCATCAGACAATAATAATGTAAATTGAAGCAAGAAGAAAAAGGAATTCCTCCATATTTCGGCTCATTTCCTCTCGTGAGCGTGCGCTGCTGTGTATAGCTACCTATGTGTGTGCGTGTGTGTCCCGCTTTTAACTCTGTATTTGTGTCAGCCAGCGTCCTGAATGCAGACACTTTAAGGCAATGCTAAAGCCGTAGCAACTACATAAGAAAAATTTAAATTTATTTGTTATCGACAATTTCAGAGTTTCAATTCAATTGGAAAACATGAGATTTCACGAGTCTTTTAACTAAACAACTTACATAAGCAAAACATAATAATTGCATACGACCGATTAAAGGCTTAATACAAACGCGCGCTAGTCTTCGTCACGCATGTAATATACGCCACAGAAACACACACCAGCACAACGCTCTGACGCGCTCTATGAAAATTCTCCCCTCGAACTTATCATTAGTGTGCAGTGAAAACTCCAATAGACAATTCAGTTTGAGTTAACAGTGCAGCACCCATTCTATACTAGCAGCAAAATAAGCAGTTCTAAAAGAATTATAATAAAACCCAAACCACAAGAGAAAGGATTCTCACAGGCAAGCATCAAAATGGCAACAGACTTTTTGTTTCCGAAAATAGCGGATTGCTCCTATGTATCCTGTTACTGGTTAGTAGAGTTCTTATTTAACGGCATTAGCTTAACAACGATAATGAAAATCGGAAATACACAACATATTATAAATTAAACATTTTAGCAACTGAATGTTGATTTTCCAATATATGAAGAAAATATTTGTATTTTTTTTAATGTTTATGCTTAATTTAGTTTATTGTTTAGATTATGAAACTTACATATCTGAGAATTCGCATGCTGTTTGAGCACTTATTATTTATTACTCGTTTCGTGCTTTATACTCGTTGATATTCCTTGCTTCGCATTTTAATTCACTCATTACTCAGCTCCACCTCCCACGAAGCTCCTTTTGGCAGGGGGTTCTTCCTGTCGCGCCGCCACGCAGCACTGAAATTAGGTCAAACGGTCATGTCTGCTAACAAGACCAGTGTGTGAGGGTTGCGTGGGCTGTGGTATTGACTTGGCCGCACTGAGGGATTTTATTATCGCATGCTAAAAGCGTGTTTAAACCATAAAACGACTAAAAGCAACAGCACAAATTTCTACATTCGAAACTGTGTATAAGCACACAATTAAAAACTTAGTACATTCATATATACAAATGTACATATTAGTATATATCAATAGAAATATATAAAGCCGAAACTACATCGAAAAATATGATACACTTATGCTTAAATGTATAAACTATACAACAAGCTAAGAAATGTTACGGCAGCAGTGAATTTAGTAAATAATTTAATGGCGAGGCTATATTTCATATATTTATTTAGCCTAAAACATATAAACTAACGGTGCATTATCAATTTTGTACTTCTGATGTGGACGATTGCGATAAAAACAATAAATATTTGTGGTCTCATTCGCTTACCTTCTCTCTATTTCTCTGTCATGCGCTCTGCTTCTCTCTCTCTCTCTCTCTCTCTCAATCGCTCATTTGTTCTCTTTTCAAGTCTTCAGCTCTCTAACGTTCTCTTTCTGTCTCTCTCTTTTTTTTTTTTTTTTTTTTTTTTTTCTTCCATTATTTTTCCTTGAAGCTTTCTCTCTGCAACTATATTAGCTACGAGCCATCTGTTGGCAACATCTAAACTTGTGAAGCTTTTACAATGTGCTTTCGTAAGATTTGTATATTATTTACCTACTCACTAGATCCTCTACACCCTCTCATATTAAATATCTATACACTTGTATGCAAAGTCAAAAATGATGGTGTTTTATGTCTAGTTAAGTTTTTCGTTAGACAGATAAGAAAGTTTTAAATAAATCTGGATGGCCGGTGCAGACGAAGAGATAATTTATAATTGAAAATGTTTTATTTAACTTTAGTGAGGAAAACGTTTGGAAATTATGTGAACAGGTGCAGCGCACGCGCCCTGAGGAGTTAAGCAAGTGCTATGCTGTTTTCGTCTCAAATGAGGGGAGAACTGTACCACTATGGCGACAAAAAGCTGGACGTGGTGATGATCAAGTTGTGATATGGGTAAGATGCACCGCAAAATACAGCGTAAAAATAATACGAAATGTATCCTTTGCGAACAGGACTATCATGTATTCTTTATGCATAATCCCTTGCCCAACCGCTGTTTGGTATATGACTTGGATACTACACTCCCGTTTCCAACATATTTTCATAAGTACGTTACTGAAACTTTTCGGTCAGATCTCGCACTACGACCTGAGCATCACAGGTAGGTATTCCATAATACAAAAGCATGATAAAAGTCTAAGTTTCTTATATTTCCAGATTTTTCAGAGTCATACCTGCTGATACATATCTAATTGAATTCTCATCGGATCGTCGGCACATGCGCCGGCCAGATGGTAGCTGGATTAAGCCGCCACCATCATATCCACCCATCCTATCGAATAGTAAAAACTAATCTACATACAGCTACAAGCTACAGCTAATGATATATTGTGTTTTTCAGCTAACATGCATTGTTTGGGCGACTTTATTTGCATGAGCGCTGGCAAAGGACCCGGCGCCGTCTACAGCCTCTCCGAGTTTGTGCAATACTTTTATAAGTCACCGCACGTTGTGGCACAACACAACAAATAAATTATCAATTATCACACAAATACATTTACTGATATCAGCTTAAACCAAAATCGAAATTAATTTAAAAAGTTTGTGCTCTTGCAAAACTTGCCGACAACACAACAGATGTGCATTATACTAAAAGACAATTGAATAACAATTGCATACATATAAATACTTATATACATGTATAATGCATATAATATAATATAATGTATTTTTATATTCAGATTAATATTTAATAAGAGCAAACTCTGTAAGTAATAAATTATGCATCTTCCAAATCCTTGACATTCAAAAATTTTACATTTTTTATTTCCTTCTATGCATTCAAAAACCTGAGATTATATTTGAAAGTTCTTTTGCCATTTTTACCAACAAAATTGAATTTAATTCCACGAATTGCGAGCAGTACATGCCGTTTTCATTAATGGCATTTTACATATTTTAATACATTTGCATCTCACGCTCTTAACATATTAAAAAAGAACATGCTGGAAGCTTTACTGTATAGATAATGTTGACCTTGTTTAGCTCTTTTTGTTAACTTACTCTAAAAATGTACATCCAATTTTTGACAGAAATAAGTCTAGGCCAAGCATTGTAGCCATCATTTACGGCAGCTAAATGAGCATTATACAAAACCTTGGTGTATGATTTTTTTTTTTTTTTTTTTTTTTTTTTTTACTCTATTGTAATTACGTATCGCATACTTATTTAATACTTGTGACACGCAAAGACTGATTCATTATACGCTCTACAGTAATAGTAAACAAAATACCAGGCAGAGCCATCCCAATTTTCAACCAGAATACTCTTAGCGAAAAATTCACACCATTTAATCGGAAAATTAACAACTAATGATTTTGTGTTTTTATTGCTTCACAATTAAAATTTCCGAATTCTCACTTTACCACTTATAACTTTAAACTCTTTTACATTCAATAAGTTGATAAATTTGTATTATTATTAAAAGAAAAGAAAAATGTTTACTCAATTTTGTAAGACTTAAAAAAAAAATATTACAATTTATATATAATGTTAATGTATATTACTTACATTAAATGCTGTGCAAAGTCTCAAAGTTAAACCTACACTCTTAAATTAAAAAAAAAAATGTAAACTTTAAAAAGTTTAAAATATACTTGAATCTGGCAAAACTTTACTTATATGTGCTATGTATTTGACACTAACAAAAACAACACTTGCCACTGTAACTCATCTTAAGCTCTTCTTTTCTCATTTAAGTAAGATTCAATCTTGTAAGACTTTTTAATTTACAAAAACCACAAAAGCAAAACAAGTAAGGTTTGCTTTGGCTTATTTATATAAATAAATAAATATATACATGGATATTATCACTTAATGTTTTTATGTACTAAACAGCATATATGTAAAGTTTTCTCTTCCACCTTTGTAATTTAAATATATATAAAATATAATATTGAGCAGCTAATATGTTACCTCCGCGGAAAAATACTACAAAATTTACTCATAGTATAAGCAGACAATGTAGACGCAATAATTTAATGTTTGCGTCTTATTACTCTTTTTTATAAAAATGCATATAAAATAAGATATCCATAAAGAGGCTGATGAATGTTTATAAAGTCAAGTAGCCGCAGCTTTTTGATCATATCAGAATGACATGTATTTATTGTTCACATTTTTAAAATATCTTTTTAGTTAAATTTTTCATATTCAGCTAAAATAATCTTAAATAGCTCGAAATACACAATATGAAATTAAAACATACACTGTATATACGTATGTAGTTATAAACAAAGAAAAAAAAGAATCATTAAAAGCGTCTTACATGCGTGAACATCATATGTGTAGGTCAAATGAAATATATAGTTAGATAAATTTGAATTATGTGACAGCGATACCAAATTATTTCAGCAATTTACAATTTACTTACAGCATACAAAATCTCGTAAACCTTTTTTACTCTGCTCACCATAAGAAAAAAATATCAACAATTATAATAGATAATCTACTCATTCATCAGGTTATACAGCTACATATGAATGAAATGAAATTAATTGCGCTATATTCTATTTACAATTTTTCTAATACAATGTTTTCTAGATTGGTAAATATTGATCCCTTTTTCTATTAATAAATGCGCGCTGAATCTGAAAATATTGCAAGCTATATACGTACATACATATTTTCATATATACAAATTGATATAGAAAATGCGCCAGATATTTAAATCTCCACACATTACAAAATTATAAAGGCAATACACATATGTCTATGGTATTACGTTTTTAAAACGATAAACAAGGATCTTAATATTCTAATAAAGTTGAAAAAAAAAGTTTTTGAATATATTGGCTTTAGCCTGTGTTAATCGACTTATATGTCTTACTCTATAAAATATATGTATATCAAACAAATTATCAATTGTACTACTATTGTATTATTATTCTAAACTACTTTTTCTGCTCTGTAGTATTTGTATAATTTATACTATGAGTCAATGAAATAAAGCTGTACTTTCGAATCTTCAAATTGTGACGCGCAAAAACGAATATTAATATAAATCAACCTTAAAATCATACATACCAATGCATTTTACTTATATTATTAGACTACGAATTGAAATTAAAGCAATGCCCCTGTCGTTTTGAATTACATGCTTATGTATGTAAATACATATGTGAACGATTTAGGGTTCGAATGATTTTACCTGATTAAACCCTCTTGTACCTACATTTATTCTTTTCTTCTTTAACTCCGGCACGAAATTATTCCCATCGACATATGTGTTTTCTGATAGTAGTGAGTGGTGTTGTCTAACAATTGTAAAATTTTCAATAACAATGCTAGACTTGCAATATTTTCAAGAGAGTTTCATCAGAATCCGATCATAGCTTCGAATAAAGCACCCAGGCATCTGGCTTTATGCTTTGAAAAGGGCAATACGGACAAATTTTTTGCACGAAGCTATGAAATTTTTTACATATAATAATAATAAAGCACCCAGGCATCTGGCTTTATGCTTTAACAAGGGCAATCGGGACAAATTTTTTGCACGAAGCTATGAAATTTTTTACATTGAATGCATTTATATATTTATGGAAATTAACAACACCGATCTGGACCAACACTTCTGAGTGTGGGGTTAGTCTGAATTTCGGTTGCTTCGTAGATTAAGTTGACAAAACCTATATACAGTGCATATACTCAAATTCGTGCAGATTTTTATACCCTGAACCCATTGAAAATGGGAAATCAGGGTATAATGGTTTTGTGAAAAAGTATGTAACGGGCAGAAGGAGTCATCGCAGACCCCAGACCTTGATCAGCACGACGAGCTGAGTCGATATAGCCCTGTCCGAGCTAGAGAGCTGAAATTTGGCATGCATACTCGTGTCTACCGTACGCAGTACGAGTTTGCTTTATTTTTTCGATAAATCATCCGATATCTTTTTTATCGAGAATCGAAAAATTAATTTTGTTTTTTCAGCCTCATTGGAATACTATTAGACATGGAGACTTTAGATTTACTGTGTATATACATATGATGAATACAAACATTTTGTACCTGCATTTGAACATTATGATTACGTTCTGAAAGTTTCATTAAGATTGTACGTCTAGAAATTAAATTATTCAACAAATAAATTCGTATAATATTGCCCACATTGCAACGCAGCCCAAGCGCAGTCGCGGCTTACTGCGCCGTCAGCAGAGCGCGTTGTTATACGTACGTCTGGATGCATGTGTATGTATGTGTGCAGAGAAGAAGTGCAGAATGATTAGAATATCAGCTTGGAAGGTTCAGGATATCTCAAGTCGAGCAGTCTCGACTAGAGCCTTCTTACTTGTTTCCACTGTTTCTTTTTCGAACAGAACAATCATGTCTGTGATTATGTATAAATAATCACATTCCAAACCGTTATAAGCTATAAATATAATAAATCAAGTATTTTATGCGTCTTTTTGCCTTTTTTATAAAACCAGCATATAAAATAAGATATCCACAAAGAGGCTGAATGTTTACAAAGTGGAATTGCTGCACTTTTCTGATCATATTAGAATCGTTTGTATATATTGTTAACATTTTTGAAAATGCACTCAGATGTCTTATCAGTTTGTACTTTTGGTGTAGGCAATTGCGATAAAAACAATAAATATTTGCGCTCTCCGTCGCTGCCATTTTCTCTTTTTCTCAGCCATGCGCTCTGTCTCTCTCTCTCTTCTTGTCTGTCATACGCTCGCTCTCTTTTCAATTTGTCCGCTCTCTAGCGTTATCTTACTCTTTCAATATATATTTGTACTCTCAGTTGCTTAAATTCTCTCTCTCGGAGACTCACTTTATCAACTCTGGTAAAACTAATTTTCACGGGTACACTGTTTATGCGGCTAACCATCCTTCTAACAGGCGAAGAGGGTGTGTGGCAGTAATCATTAAAATTAACACTACGGCACTACGCTCTGTATGCTCCAATTACTGAGCGGTGCCTATGTGCAACCGTCTCACTAAATCCCGCCAGTGGTGTGGTAACAGATGACCTGTATTTGAAACTTATTACACTACGCACACAAGGCAAACCTAAACATATTAACTACCGGATCTCCTACTTACTTCCCTTTTAACCCTCGACACTCGCAATCCGCCATTGATTTTGCTATATATAAAGGTATTCGTCATGAACTTCTTCAGATTGACGATTTACATCACTTAAGTTCCGATCATTTTGAAGACAAGTTTAGCCATAAAGTCACTGTGTCTCAAACTGATTTCATCAAGATAGAAACAGCCATACGTCAAACAATGCAATCCAACTAATTAAAATTTCGCCCAGACAGGGTCTCGTAGGTGGTTAGCATCATAAAGCTAGTAGATAATAAAATAGCGGCTGGAATTAGAAAAGGAATTACAATTAAATCACTCCCTTCTGTACTTTACTAGTATATATAAAATTGCTCTTTGTCTGGGCCACTTCCCATCCTAGGGGAAACAGGCGCTTGTAAATATGGTCCACAAGCCTAACAAGCCCACACAGATACTGCTACTGCATCGCTGTTGCCTACGCTGCTATCGCTGCCGAAGCCGCTGCGGTTGTTGTTGTAGTCGTTGCCGCCGCTGCCGATGCCGCTGCGGTTGTTGTTGTTTTTGACTCCGTGGGAATGCTGACGCTGCGCACGTGGCGGAAGCCGCTTTGGGTTCAGTACAACACTATTGCTGAACTACTTCCAGCACGTTAGGTGTAACTTTGTGTGTTAACTTATATATTCAAATTGAGTAAAGTATATAGACGCAACTTGCAATGAGTAAAGTTGTGCTAGTGTGTGTTTGCGCGTTAAGATGTACAACGCTCTCCTTGGCAGCGTCATCAGAGATGAAGCTTGCGACGACGATGAGCAGTATGTAGAAGATGACCCTGCACCGGATGATGATATTTTAAATGGCCTGACTCGATTTGACTCTGATGCTGATCAAGTTCAATAGGTGCCAACAAACGTAAGAGTGCTGCAACTGTGCTGAAACTAGCTATGGAGGTAAGCAGGCATAAGAGCAGCAAGTGCGTGCCCATAAGCAGCAGCAACAGTTAAATGAACAAAAGGGCGGATGAAAACACCGCGAACTCTAATTGCAACTCGCAATGTTAATAAAAGCAGATGGTTATCCAAATGCCACTTACTCTGAAAAGTTTTAAATTATGAGCATAGAGTGACTAGCAATAGTCCACTGCTGCCAGCACTGTTATCTTTAGGCAAATCTTTAAAATCTCCAACGAAAGCTGTTTCCTGCAACAGCTACAGCTGCAACAAGTATATTTAGACGCTGCATCTAGTGATCTGGTAAATACAACAGATGGAGATGAGATTCTAAATCATTTGTTTACTATTCATGAACGAAACAAATCAATTCTTCCTCCACCCCTATTGTCAGCTAGAGCTAAAGAAAGATGTCGTAAAATGGCTGCTACTGGCACATCAGCCAATCAGAAGCTTCTTTCACTATTTGCCAAAAACAAGGTGAAAGTTGATGATGACTTGGTTATCGATGATGACACGCCAACAACATCGAAAAGAGCGGCTGCCAATGAGCCTGCGCATAAGGCCATTACAGCTCCTGTTGCTGGTGCTGTTAATAACAGTGGCAGTGCAGCTGTAAATGCAAGTGCTGTTAGTGCTGATCACTCGCCAACAACAGATGGCGCCAATGGTAATAAGTACATTAATTCAGATTCCAATTTCTATGAAAACGACAGAAATTGATGATAATGAAGTCGATGATGATGATGAGAAGAAGGGGTTCCTGAACAGGCTTAAGAAGGGGGCAACTCCTTTGTATCTGCCCAATGTGCCAATGAGATAATGCCAGTGCCGCTGGACATTAAAAATGCCATAGGCGAGAATAGTTTTTAAACGAAGCGGACTGCTGGTCATAGATTATCACTTTATGATACGCTATTCGCATCATTCACATTAGAGAGCTGCATGGCCGCACTCATAACTTAGCAAAATAGAGTGCACGCGAATTGAGACTAAGTGAGTGAGTTATAGGCATACAATGTGTTGATTGAGTGGGATATCGCATGCACTCAATATCTCATATCTCTCTGCCTTTAGTAAAAAGAATGAGAATAAATAAGAATAAGAATAAAGAGCAATACAAGTTGTATTATACAACAGTTAACCAAAGCATCTAGGCGTCGAGGCACTCAAGTTTTTGCATGCATATATCTTCATGTCAACACTTCGTATTTGCTCGGCTCCGTCGCTTGAGGGCCTCAGTTGAGGCTTGAGCAGTGAAAAAATCTCACCCCAAGATTAGTGCGCTTCGAGCGTTCAAGCGTAAAGCACGCATTTTAATATGAGCTCTGATTGTGCGGCTTTTTTTTCTTACTCTGTCTCTTTCTATGCCCTTTCCATTTAGAAGTATATCTAGCTCTTGAAAGGGGTTTGCCATGCTCATGCTAAATTTTAGCGTTTTCATCGTATGTATCTACTAATCCTGACAACTTAAATAAAATAATGATTCTAAATTTCATTATTAATTAAACATATACATACACATATTTTATAACAAAATTACATTGCCTTTCGTTTGCTCGTTATTTGTGGGGAGGGTATGAAAACGTTGCTACGCATAAAGAATAATTTTTCGCTTCCAACTTGTAACGGTAAAGTTGCCGTCGGTCGGCTATCTGGTCTGCACACACACAATTCCATTGCGCTTCGTGTTTTTCTTATTTTTTTTCTCTGTAATTTTTTTTTCTCGTTTTGGCGTCGGTGCCACACATCTCAATATGAGCATTGTTAATTCGGTTACGGTTCTTTGTTGGCACTCATGCAGCTCTCTAATTCAAATTATTGCTTGGTTTGGCATTCCAGTCGCCGCAGACGACTAAGCTTGATGAGGTCCATCCTGTCAGGTTATCGAAGTGTTTGAACAATTTTTGATATTGATTTTGTCCTGACCAATCTAGATGATGAAATCCAGAAGTGGGCGTCTGCCGTCGGCCGCCACTGCGCCCCCGGGTGGACACTCTCTGGAATTGAAGGAAGCTGGATTATGGATTTTGTGGATAATCAGGGAAGTACATAAATACATAGAGCACATAGATGACCAAGTAATGCAAGCCATAAATAAATAAATGCATTACTTGAGACATACAAAATATTAATGTATGTACAATCTACGCCTATGTACATTGTGTTGAGCTTATTTCAAATTGAAATTTAAAAAAAATAAATAAAAATAATAATAAGGTGCATATTGACCTTTGATCTGCAAATAATTCAATCTCTATTGCCTCGCATAATCCAAGTTTTCTTTGGCGCCGCTAGTGTGTTACAGTTTTTTTGCTCATTTTCGTCTCGCACTTTCGTTTTGCGCTTGCGCTCACAGCTCGCTCTCGCTCGCACATATTAGTGCGCGCTCACTTTGCGCTCAGTGCATACTCACTTGCTATATCGTTTGCACTCGCGCTTACACAGCAAATTTCGCTTTAATTTACGCTCATCATTTGCATGCGCGCTTGCAATATCGTTTGCACTCGCGCTTGCACTTATAGTTGCGCTCTCGTTTTACTGTCTCGCTTGCACATATTAGTGCGCGCTCACTTTGCGCTCATTGCATACTCACTTGCAATATCGTTTGCACCCACGCTTGCACACGCAGCAGCGCTCTCGCTTTGCGCTCAAAACTTGCACTCTCGCTTTGCGCTCATTGTATGAGCTCGATCTGCACTTATATTTTGGCATTCATACCGGCGCGCTCTCGCTTATGAATGCATTGCACTCAGTCGCTCAACAGTCAAATATAACTCAATAGACCACTTGCCCAAATAGTCACTCAACATTTTGGTTGTTGTCTTCGCTATATCGTAACAGTCACTCAAGTATAGTTTAACACTGCCAGCGTAATATATTGAGATTTATTACGATCGCGCGCATTTGTTAACATTCTTGAATTGCTCTTCGCTTGTTGTCATACATTAAGTGAACTTTTATTTGTTTCGATTGAAATTGGTTTCAACTGAGCATCACTTATAGCATCATGACTAACAAGCGAGGAAAGAATAGGTCTATGGACGAGTCATCATCAGAGCGTGTCGAAGCTCTGTTGGCCGTTTACAAAAATGTTACAAACGACATAACACGCATTAATAAATCATTAAAAGATTACACTAAACCAGTAGAGCCATTTGAAATTGAATGTCGACTTGAGATATTGAACCGCTACATAGAAAAGGCCTTTAAGACACAACAAGAGTTGGACGACATTAACGCAGATTTAGTGCCTCGGTCAACGTTAGAAGATTTGTGTGTATCGACAAAAGCACTTCTTATGAAGCGAGGTAGTGATAGCCAACCTAAAAGTGAGAGTCCCGCTAACTCTACAATGATTAGCTCAGTGTCACATTCTAGGAATCTACCGAATATAAAGCTGCCAAAGTTTAGCGGAGAATATTCGGAATATAAGAATTTCATTGGACTTTTTGAGAGTTTAGTCGACAACGAGCCAGGGTTATCAAATATAGAAAAGTTTAACCACTTGTTGTCATGCTTGGACAAAGAAGCATTAGGCACTGTCAAGGCATATCAGGTGACAGATGCAAATTATCCAAAAGCGTTAGCTGCTTTAAAAAATGTGTACGACAATCAGTGTCTCATATTTTTTAACAGCATTTCAAAACTATTTGATCTCCCACACATGTCCGAACCGTCAGCATCATCTTTGCGCATGCTGATAGACTCAGTCCGTGCCATTTACGAATCTCTTTTATCGCTAGGATCTGATAAGCAGATTTCGAATGCCATGCTCATCCATTTGGTAATGATGAAAGTGGACGCTGGCACGCGCTCTAGGTGGGAAGAGAATCTTGACTACAATAAGCTTCCATTGTGGCAAGATTGTGAAGCTGCCTTGAACAGACGGTATCAGCATTTAAGTGCTGAAGACTCATCTGGTCCACGTCGTAAGGTAGCTCAGGATAATAAGAAAAGAATTGGGAAAACTTCTCTAGCTGTCGCTCTGCCAAGTGAGCCGCAGAGTCCCAAATGCGTGTTTTGTAAAAAGAACGATCACTTCATTCACTCGTGCTCGTCGTTCGCAGCAATACCTTGCCAGAAACGTTTTACGTTCGCAAAGAGCTATCCGCTCTGTATAAATTGTTTGCGAACAGGACACTCAGTGGCTGCTTGCAAATCAGCCCACTGTCGTGTGTGCTCTAAGCCGCACCATACCATACTGCATAGATACAGCTCTGAAGCGGCTCAAAGTAGCTCAGCAGTTGTATCAGCAGTCCCTCGTGTCACTTCGTCACAGATTTCATCTGTAAATCACGCACGGATAGCCTCTGATCAAGTTCTTTTGGCAACTGCAGTTGTGAAGATAAAAGATCAATCTGGATCTTATCACTTAGCTAGAGCTTTATTAGATTCCGGCTCGCAAGTAAATTTCATAACTGAAGAACTGGCAAAACAGTTGAAATTAAAACGGCAAAGATCTGGGATTCAATTGTTGGGCATTGCTAATTGTCAGTCATCTGTTCGGCACAGCGTTCAAACTTCGATAGCGTCCCGAACGGACGACATAGAAATCCGAACAGACTTTGGTGTGTTACGTTCCATTTCGTCGTATCAACCAGAGAAGCACACTGAAGAGATCAAGGTACCTGATAATGTACAATTAGCTGATCCTCAATTCCACAAGCCGCAACGTATTGATTTGTTGCTCGGTGCTGATATCTTTTTTGATATATTAAGAGAAGGCAAAATAAAAGGATCCGATAACAACCCAACATTGCAATTGACTGCCTTTGGTTGGATTGTATCTGGTCGCTGCCGAACATTGAATGCAGCTACTAGTTCGTCGACTTTCATTAGCGTCGTAAACGACGACATAGCTATAGATTCAATAGTTCGCAAGTTCTGGGAGTTGGAAGAAAAGCCAAATACAATTAATTCGAATTTGTATACCCCAGAGCAACAACTGTGCGAGAAGTCATTTGTGGAGACTATTTGCCAAACTACCTCGGGTCGTTTCAGAGTGTCGCTGCCATTCAAATCAAGCCCACATTGTCTTGGTACGTCTTACGACACAGCCAAGCGACGATTTCTGGCCTTGGAAAGAAGAATGAGCAAGCAAGAAGACATTCGGCCAATGTATATTGACTTTATGAAAGAATACTTGGCCTTGGGTCACATGAGCCCAACTAACAATCAAATTCCGAGAGAGCCGCATTATTTCATCCCATATCAATGCGTGCTAAGACCGCACAGCGCATCCACTAAACTTCGAGTAGTGTTTGATGCCTCTAGCAAGTCCTCCTCTCAATTGTCGCTGAATGATCTACTCATGGTGGGTCCGACCATCCAGCCGCAGTTATGGGAGACTTTGCTAAGATTTCGACTTCGTCCTTGGGCTGCTACAGCAGACATCGCTAAAATGTACCGTCAAATTGAACTTGACGAGTCCCACCGCAACTTTCAACTTATTGTGTGGAGGGAAACGCCCACTGATCCGTTACAAATCTTTCGATTAAACACAGTAACGTACGGGACAGCGACTGCTCCATTCTTAGCAATTCGATGTTTAAAACATCTAAGCGACTTGCATGCTTCCACTCATCCAGCTGCTGCAAGATCGTTAGCCCGAGATTTCTATGTTGATGACCTGTTGACAGGAGCAGATAGCGTCGAAGAATTGTGCTTGTTGCATCGAGACTTGATCGCAATTCTTCAAAAGTTTGGATTTCCCCCTCACAAAATGGTCGTCCAATTGTAAACAACTCGCAGCACAACCAGCTAGAAACGATATAGTTATTGGTCATCAAGAGGACACAAAAACATTGGGATTAATTTGGAATCCAATGAATGACAGCTTTAGATATTCCATGAACTGTCCAGTAGAAGTTCAACAGACCAAAAGATCCGTTTTGTCATTTGTAGCAAGGTTATACGACCCCTTAGGTTTGTTAAGTCCGATCGTAACTCGTGCGAAGGTCCTTTTACAGGAAATGTGGTTGCACAAACTTGGGTGGGATGACCAATTGCCTGTTCAAATGAGGCAAGAATTTGAGGCAGTAACTAGCTGTTTCTCAAATCTAAACTCGTTGCATATACCTCGTTACGTTGGCACACTTAAATCGAAAGGATGTCAAATCCATGGATTTGCTGATGCCTCAACGAGAGCTTACGGTTGTTGTTTATACGTAAGAATGCAAACAGATAAGGGTATCACTACCAGGCTGCTAGTCGCTAAATCTAAGGTAGCGCCCTTGAAAACAAAATCTGTTCCGCGGCTGGAGTTGTGTGCTGCAGAATTGTTAGCTACCTTATGGGATGCGGTAAGGAAAGTACTTGATTGTCCTATTAATCAAGTCACATTTTGGTCAGACTCTGAGGTGGTGCTTCATTGGCTGCGAATGCATTCATCTAGCTTGAACACATTCGTTGCTAATCGCGTTGCAACCATCCAAGAGTTGACAACTAATGTATCTTGGCGTCATGTACCAACGAAAGACAACCCAGCAGATATTGTATCTCGGGGATGTTCAGTTGAGGAGCTTAAAACATCATTGTGGTTTTGCGGACCAGGATTTTTAAAGCTCTCTGACACATTGTGGCCAGCCAACCCACAAATCACCCTATCAAAGGAGTTAGAGCTGCTAGAGAAGCGTAGAACTGCAATTACTATGATCGCGGTCGATGAGGTAGCAAATCCTATCGTACATCTTATTGAGTCAACGTCATCATTTTCTAAGCTAATCCGCATCGTTGCCTATATGTTCCGCTTTATCAATGGAAAACAAGAAAGTCATTCTTCACTTGTTCCTACAGCTTCTGAGTTAAGCTTCGCATTCCTTGCAGTTATATCTGTAATTCAACACATTGAATTCAGCGAAGAAATAAAGAAAATAAAGAAGTCAGTCGTGTTGCAACCGTCATTGCAAAAACTGACACCATTTTTGCACCCACATCAGCATGGCAGGCGTATGTTATGGTTGCTACGAGTAGGAGGTCGTTTATTGAAGGCACCATTAGCACATAATGCCAAATTCCCATTGTTGCTTCCAAAAAAATGTCGTTTCGTAACGCTTTATTTGGAGCATTTGCATCACTCTCATTGCCACGCCAATCCCCTAGTACTAATGGGCCTGCTTCGTCAGCAGGTTTGGCTGGTCAATGCTCGACAGGCTTGCAGTGCAGTAGTCCGAAAATGTGTACATTGTTTTCGCTACAAGCCGAAACTCTTATCCCAAATAATGGGCAATCTTCCCGCTGATCGCTTACATGGAAATAGGCCATTTGAGATCAGTGGAGTGGACTTTTGCGGTCCAATACTGGGAATTCGGGGCAAATCGCCAGTCAAAATGTATATTGCCATATTTGTTTGCTTTACTTCGAAGGCAGTGCATCTTGAATTAGTCACCGATTTAACCACAAATTCATTTCTAATGTGTTTATCCAGGTTCGTTGGTCGACGTGGGCTTGTCCGGAAGCTGTACTGCGACAATGCCACCAATTTCGTGGGTGCTGCACGCACGCTGGACCTCAAAGCTACGTTCCATGGCAACACAGCGGACATGGAAATGTTTGCTGCGGAGCGGGGCATGGAGTTTGTATTCATCCCTCCTCGAGCGCCGCATTTTGGCGGCCTTTGGGAAGCGGCGGTGAAATCCGCCAAAGGTTTGCTGCTGAAAGCGATGGGCAGCGCTCGATTACGGCAAGACGAGGTGGCCACCGTGCTGGTCGAGGTCGAGGCCGTGCTCAATTCGCGGCCAATGGTCGCTCCCAGCAGCAACCCCAACGACGGCGAAGTGCTCACGCCAGGGCACTTCCTGATAGGAGCAACGCTCGTGCCGCTGCCAATCGCGTCCACAGAGCCAGTCGACGACGTCAAGCTGACACTATTAAAAGATGGCAGCTGACATCCAACATCAAGCGTCGATTTTGGAACGACTGGTCAAGGGACTACCTGCTCAGCCTGCAGCAGAAGTCAAAATGGACGAAGGAGAGACAGAACATACAGGTCGGAGCAGTCGTGCTCGTGGGAGAGGACAACGCTCCTCCACAACAGTGGATGCTAGGCGTGGTGACGGAAGCCATAGTCGGAGGAGATGGTAGAGTGCGCGTAATTGTCGTTAAGACAAAAAATGGCACATATAAAAGGGCAATTCATCGCGTTGCACCACTGCCACTCCACTAATACACCATGTTATTGAAGCCCTGCGGCCTTTCAACGCGGCCGATGTTAAGGCATTTGGATATTGCCTTCTGAAATATTATTATATATTATTATAAGAAATTGAATTATTATGAATTATTAATTGAATTATTATCGAAATTGTATAGGTTAAGTACTTGAAGCTGAACCACTGTACAGAAAAGTTGTTATTGTACGCGCTAGCACGGGAGTGTCGCTCTCCAAAAGATCGCTCTCTCGCTGCTCGCTGTTAGATGCGCATAGGTGCGCTCTCTACTGTGCAAGCTGCGCTTGCGTTCATGTTAAATTTAATAAATTCAGTACAAAATTGAACACCGGTGCCAGCACTTCGTATATTTCAGAGAGACCGCAAGTTGCTGTCTACTTTTTTTTATAAATATTATACACTGGCCATCGAAGGACCAGACTCCTTTTGGAAGGACAGCGATAAAGAGATTCGTAAATGGCACGGACTGAGTCTATCAGCATGCGCAAAGATGATGCTGACGGTTCGGACATGTGTGGGAGATCAAATAGTTTTGAAATGCTGTTAAAAAATATGAGACACTGATTGTCGTACACATTTTTTAAAGCAGCTAACGCTTTTGGATAATTTGCATCTGTCACCTGATATGCCTTGACAGTGCCTAATGCTTCTTTGTCCAAGCATGACAACAAGTGGTTAAACTTTTCTATATTTGATAACCCTGGCTCGTTGTCGACTAAACTCTCAAAAAGTCCAATGAAATTCTTATATTCCGAATATTCTCCGCTAAACTTTGGCAGCTTTATATTCGGTAGATTCCTAGAATGTGACACTGAGCTAATCATTGTAGAGTTAGCGGGACTCTCACTTTTAGGTTGGCTATCACTACCTCGCTTCATAAGAAGTGCCTTTGTCGATACACACAAATCTTCTAACGTTGACCGAGGCACTAAATCTGCGTTAATGTCGTCCAACTCTTGTTGTGTCTTAAAGGCCTTTTCTATGTAGCGGTTCAATATCTCAAGTCGACATTCAATTTCAAATGGCTCTACTGGTTTAGTGTAATCTTTTAATGATTTATTAATGCGTGTTATGTCGTTTGTAACATTTTTGTAAACGGCCAACAGAGCTTCGACACGCTCTGATGATGACTCGTCCATAGACCTATTCTTTCCTCGCTTGTTAGTCATGATGCTATAAGTGATGCTCAGTTGAAACCAATTTCAATCGAAACTAATAAAAGTTCACTTAATGTATGACAACAAGCGAAGAGCAATTCAAGAATGTTAACAAATGCGCGCGATCGTAATAAATCTCAATATATTACGCTGGCAGTGTTAAACTATACTTGAGTGACTGTTACGATATAGCGAAGACAACAACCAAAATGTTGAGTGACTATTTGGGCAAGTGGTCTATTGAGTTATATTTGACTGTTGAGCGACTGAGTGCAATGCATTCATAAGCGAGAGCGCGCCGGTATGAATGCCAAAATATAAGTGCAGATCGAGCTCATACAATGAGCGCAAAGCGAGAGTGCAAGTTTTGAGCGAAAATATATCCAAGTGACGAGCGCACGTTTTGAGCGCAAAGCGAGAGCGCTGCTGCGTGTGCAAGCGTGGGTGCAAACGATATTGCAAGTGAGTATGCAATGAGCGCAAAGTGAGCGCGCACTAATATGTGCAAGCGAGACAGTAAAACGAGAGCGCAACTATAAGTGCAAGCGCGAGTGCAAACGATATTGCAAGCGCGCATGCAAATGATGAGCGTAAATTAAAGCGAAATTTGCTGTGTAAGCGCGAGTGCAAACGATATAGCAAGTGAGTATGCACTGAGCGCAAAGTGAGCGCGCACTAATATGTGCAAGCGAGACAGTAAAACGAGAGCGCAACTATAAGTGCAAGCGCGAGTGCAAACGATATTGCAAGCGCGCATGCAAATGAAGAGCGTAAATTAAGAGCGCAATTATCTGTGCAAGCTGTGAGCGCAAGCGCAAAACGAAAGTGCGAGACGAAAATGAGCAAAAAAACTGTAACACACTAGCGGCGCCAAAGAAAACTTGGATTATGCGAGGCAATAGAGATTGAATTATTTGCAGATCAAGGTCAATATGCACCTTATTATTATTTTTATTTATTTTTTTTAAATTTCAATTTGAAATAAGCTCAACACAATGTACATAGGCGTAGATTGTACATACATTAATATTTTGTATGTCTCAAGTAATGCATTTATTTATTTATGGCTTGCATTACTTGGTCATCTATGTGCTCTATGTATTTATGTACTTCCCTGATTATCCACAAAATCCATAATCCAGCTTCCTTCAATTCCAGAGAGTGTCCACCCGGGGGCGGCTGTTAACCGAAAGGTTGGTGGACACTCTCTGGAATTGAAGGAAGCTGGATTATGGATTTTGTGGATAATCAGGGAAGTACATAAATACATAGAGCACATAGATGACCAAGTAATGCAAGCCATAAATAAATAAATGCATTACTTGAGACATACAAAATATTAATGTATGTACAATCTACGCCTATGTACATTGTGTTGAGCTTATTTCAAATTGAAATTTAAAAAAATAAATAAAAATAATAATAAGGTGCATATTGACCTTTGATCTGCAAATAATTCAATCTCTATTGCCTCGCATAATCCAAGTTTTCTTTGGCGCCGCTAGTGTGTTACAGTTTTTTTTGCTCATTTTCGTCTCGCACTTTCGTTTTGCGCTTGCGCTCACAGCTTGCACAGATAATTGCGCTCTTAATTTACGCTCTTCATTTGCATGCGCGCTTGCAATATCGTTTGCACTCGCGCTTGCACTTATAGTTGCGCTCTCGTTTTACTGTCTCGCTTGCACATATTAGTGCGCGCTCACTTTGCGCTCATTGCATACTCACTTGCAATATCGTTTGCACCCACGCTTGCACACGCAGCAGCGCTCTCGCTTTGCGCTCAAAACGTGCGCTCGTCACTTGGATATATTTTCGCTCAAAACTTGCACTCTCGCTTTGCGCTCATTGTATGAGCTCGATCTGCACTTATATTTTGGCATTCATACCGGCGCGCTCTCGCTTATGAATGCATTGCACTCAGTCGCTCAACAGTCAAATATAACTCAATAGACCACTTGCCCAAATAGTCACTCAACATTTTGGTTGTTGTCTTCGCTATATCGTAACAGTCACTCAAGTATAGTTTAACACTGCCAGCGTAATATATTGAGATTTATTACGATCGCGCGCATTTGTTAACATTCTTGAATTGCTCTTCGCTTGTTGTCATACATTAAGTGAACTTTTATTTGTTTCGATTGAAATTGGTTTCAACTGAGCATCACTTATAGCATCATGACTAACAAGCGAGGAAAGAATAGGTCTATGGACGAGTCATCATCAGAGCGTGTCGAAGCTCTGTTGGCCGTTTACAAAAATGTTACAAACGACATAACACGCATTAATAAATCATTAAAAGATTACACTAAACCAGTAGAGCCATTTGAAATTGAATGTCGACTTGAGATATTGAACCGCTACATAGAAAAGGCCTTTAAGACACAACAAGAGTTGGACGACATTAACGCAGATTTAGTGCCTCGGTCAACGTTAGAAGATTTGTGTGTATCGACAAAAGCACTTCTTATGAAGCGAGGTAGTGATAGCCAACCTAAAAGTGAGAGTCCCGCTAACTCTACAATGATTAGCTCAGTGTCACATTCTAGGAATCTACCGAATATAAAGCTGCCAAAGTTTAGCGGAGAATATTCGGAATATAAGAATTTCATTGGACTTTTGAGAGTTTAGTCGACAACGAGCCAGGGTTATCAAATATAGAAAAGTTTAACCACTTGTTGTCATGCTTGGACAAAAGAAGCATTAGGCACTGTCAAGGCATATCAGGTGACAGATGCAAATTATCCAAAAGCGTTAGCTGCTTTAAAAAATGTGTACGACAATCAGTGTCTCATATTTTTTTAACAGCATTTCAAAACTATTTGATCTCCCACACATGTCCGAACCGTCAGCATCATCTTTGCGCATGCTGATAGACTCAGTCCGTGCCATTTACGAATCTCTTTTATCGCTAGGATCTGATAAGCAGATTTCGAATGCCATGCTCATCCATTTGGTAATGATGAAAGTGGACGCTGGCACGCGCTCTAGGTGGGAAGAGAATCTTGACTACAATAAGCTTCCATTGTGGCAAGATTGTGAAGCTGCCTTGAACAGACGGTATCAGCATTTAAGTGCTGAAGACTCATCTGGTCCACGTCGTAAGGTAGCTCAGGATAATAAGAAAAGAATTGGGAAAACTTCTCTAGCTGTCGCTCTGCCAAGTGAGCCGCAGAGTCCCAAATGCGTGTTTTGTAAAAAGAACGATCACTTCATTCACTCGTGCTCGTCGTTCGCAGCAATACCTTGCCAGAAACGTTTTACGTTCGCAAAGAGCTATCCGCTCTGTATAAATTGTTTGCGAACAGGACACTCAGTGGCTGCTTGCAAATCAGCCCACTGTCGTGTGTGCTCTAAGCCGCACCATACCATACTGCATAGATACAGCTCTGAAGCGGCTCAAAGTAGCTCAGCAGTTGTATCAGCAGTCCCTCGTGTCACTTCGTCACAGATTTCATCTGTAAATCACGCACGGATAGCCTCTGATCAAGTTCTTTTGGCAACTGCAGTTGTGAAGATAAAAGATCAATCTGGATCTTATCACTTAGCTAGAGCTTTATTAGATTCCGGCTCGCAAGTAAATTTCATAACTGAAGAACTGGCAAAACAGTTGAAATTAAAACGGCAAAGATCTGGGATTCAATTGTTGGGCATTGCTAATTGTCAGTCATCTGT